CGACTCGTTCACTTAACAAACAAGCCGAACACGAGCTGTTCACGAGTTTTTTTGACAGCCCTATATAAGATATAACTTCTAAAATAATAAAATTTAGGTGCATTTACTTACATACCGCCTAATTTCTATGTATTTACGAATCTAAGTCCTAAAGTTTTTTTTACATTCTCATCTCTAAAGTTTTGTCATATCACATCAAAAAAATATGACTACTTTAACTTTTAAAATCAAATGCATGCTTGCATGAAATAGAAGTACATACTATCATGCACGAGCAGGGAAACATATAGATACGTAAAAATTGAAATTTAGATGTTAGATACTTAATATACAATAATAGAGTGGAATGCATGACATGATGTTAACACCACTGCCTATGTTTATCATTTGATACCAAGCACTATCGTCTATTGTCACGAGCAAAATAGACGCCAATCATCACAAGCACAACCTACATCTCTCGTCTCTAACAAGTTCAATGCTCGCCAATAGCAAACGCTTGTCAACACTAAGAAAATCGACGACACAAATGTTAACATTCGTCGTCAACATCAATCTTGACGCTTGTCAGGAAAAAAAAAATTCAATAAAATGTTTGCATTATGATTACTACTTTATTTGAAATCATATCAATTTCATCATAAAACTAATTGTTTTGTTCTTTTCCAAGGTTGAAAATGAAATTAACACAAATTCAAAAGTGATTAGTTGTTTGGTTTTCAGCTACTTCACAATTGCAGAAATATGTATGCTGAATCATAAAATATTTGCTGTTGATTTTCAACATAGTTAGGTTTTTTTTTTCTTTTTTTTTTATTTCATTAAAAAAAAAAATCAAACAGAAGAAAATGTGGTAGGAGCTGGACACATAAACAGTAGTTGGAAATAATTGGTCAAAAGAAAATCATCAAGCCTTACTAGCTTTTTACCAACTCTAGCTATATATATATATATCTAATTTGAGTTAGATAGAATCGAACTTAGGATGGAAGGGACACACCGAAGTTGCCAACCAACAGACCATTAGTTACGCGCAGACGCACACAGACGCATGCGCACGTATGTACTTGAGATATATTTGAGATGCATTTCCTCTCGCTCTCAAAAAGGACATTATATGAACTAGATTAGAGGGATCAATCATCCGAAAATTAGGATTCATTTCTTAGCTCAAAGACATATACGAATAAGGATATTTGATTGCTCATGCATGAGAAAATTTCATATTTATATATATTTAATATAAACTCTTAAATTATATGGACATATAAATCAGAACATGAGAGCAAATTCATTACAAACTAATTGGTCTTACACCCACCCATCTTCTTTCTATCTTTCCACTATAAAAACAGGATATTTACGAGGTTTTATGTATTATAAATTAATTAGTTGGTAAATCTTCGATTTACTTTTAATCTTGTCAGAAAACTATAATTTAATTAATAAATACACATCTATTACAATGCACCTTTCACATTGACACATCAACAACTACAATCATAGGCCCATTTATTATTATTATTAAGAAAAATTACACACAGACCACCCATTTCTTAAGATTTTACCTAACTCACACCTAAAATTTCATTTTTACACACGTAGCACTTTTAAGTATGGACAAACAGATGAATTTAACTAATAAAATGTGATAATGAGTGCTATTTTTCATATGATATTTGTAATTATGAAAATTTAGGATCAAATACGTAAATATGAAAGATTTAAGTGCTATGAATGTAAAAGCCCCATATTATTATTATTATTATTATTATTAAAGTAAATCATTAGTGCTATACAAAAATTTATTTTGCAAATCCAATAATTTTTTAGTTTATTTTTGTGTGATTTATATCAAGAAGATATATTTTTTTTTTCAAGATACTCCATTTTATATTCATTATCCAACATTATAATGCCTTTATTAATTTGATTTATTTATTTATTTATATTTTATAAGACCCAACCAATGCGGATTAGGCTGCCAGATCAGCAAAAGTCGATGCCTGGATCATTGTGGTATTCACACGTGTGAAGGTCCCAATTGGGCCCCTTTATCTTATCTAATATAAATAATACTCTCAAAATAAATAGAATAGAAATGTACTTATGAATTAAAAATTAGATAATCTAATTAATATATTTCTATAATATTAATATAAATTTAAATAAATACTTAAAATTTCAATTAGATATAAATAGACGCAACCTTATGTAGACACCCACAAGCAGACAATATATACACAGCTCATAGGAACATGCATTAATTTTAAGACACATCTCATATAGTTGAGTTGGAGGACTATAGATCTCAAGAAGTTCTGCCTTATCTTCTTAAGTCATATAATATTATCCATAACTACATTTCAATTAAATAAATATATAAATAAATACATATTTTAAAAAGAATGGCTAGAAGCTATTATACGAGCTTCCAGCCACTCATAATGTGCCTAACAATTAGAGTATCGCCTCCTTAAGGCCAACTGTGCCAGAGAAGATTCGACTCCCGACCTGAGGTGTCGTACACTGAGGATGCCAACCAGGAGGCTGAGGTACGTGACACACATCTCTCTCTCTCTCTCTCTCTCTCTCTCTCTCTCTCTATATATATATATATCACATTTGTCTTTATTCTAAAACAATCTAGTTAAAATATATATCCAATCACCAATCATTAATGTAGCTGAATGAGACTGGTTGACAATTAATCATGCAAAAAAAACTATATCTCACAAAATTAATCAAAATATGTAATACTAAATTGCAATAAGTAAGAAGAATTTTGGTTGATGTAAAGATGAGGATTAGATAACTATCAAGTAATTGGAAGACTGAAAGGTCTTCATCAAGATCAATACCTGACCAAGGTTTGGAGGCATTTAAGAATGCTTACACAGTATTAAATTGATGGAACCAAAAATGTCTAATTCATAACAACTAAAATCCAAAAACAAAAAATTATTAATGAGATGAATATGAGTACCATTGCTAATGAATTGAAGTATGTGCAGCTAAAGTTATCATTATTGTACAATTTGAATGCAACAATGGAGGTAAATTTGTGCGCCAGGTGCTTGACATGAACTAGTCATGCTGAGTTCAGAACAAATCTAGTTAAAATATATATCCAATCATCAATCATTAATGTAGGTGAATGAGACTGGTTGACAATTAAACATGCAAAAAAAAAAACTAGATCTCACAAAATTAATCAAAATATGTAATACTAAATTGCAATAAGTAAGAAGAATTTTGGTTGATAAAAAGATGAGGATCAGATAACTATCAAGTAATTGGAAGACTGAAGGGCCTTCATCAAGATCAATACCTTACCAAGATTTGGAGGCATTTAAGAATGCTTACACAATATTAAATTGATGGAACCAAAAATGTCTAATTCATAACAACTAAAATCCAAAAACAAAAAATTATCAATGAGATGAATATGAGTACCATTGGTAATGAATTGAAGTATGTGCAGCTAAAGTTACCATTATTGTACAATTTGAATGCAACAATGGAGATAAATTTGTGCGCCAGGCGCTTGACATGAACTAGTCATGCTGAGTTCAGAACAAACTCGTGGCTGGGTTCAACGAAGACTCGCCAACTGAGATCAAGACAAACTCGCCATACGAGATCCATGAAACACTCGCCGGCCTAGTTCCAGACATCTAGCCGAGATAAGGCAAACGTATCCACTACACTCAAGGGAAAACTCGTCCAAAATCATCACCATACTCGCCAAATTGATCCAACTCAAGTAGTCTTTCATGCCATATTAAGTTACGCGGATAATACTCCAAGGAAATCTAGCGACTCCTCTACACAACTAACCATTATCCTAGTCCGAGTTTTATGTTTGAGGCACTTGCTCTGATTTTTAATATTACCTAGTGTTTATGACATCATGGCTTACACTATGTACTTGATACAATAGCAAACATTTCTAAATTTCAAGGAAAATCGAATGATGTCGATCAATGATTATGCGAAGTATTACTGTAGGACACAAAACTAAGATAATAACACTAGTTTCACCTAGCTATGGGAGAAATGGCAATATTATAGTAAGATGCTGGAGTTAGTATAGGTATTTGTGTTAATGTTCCAACATTGATGGACGAAATGTTGGTGGTGGCAATCATGCATGCAAAAACAAGATATTTACGAGGTTGTATGTATTCTTAATTAGCTGATAAATTTTCAATTCGCTTTGTCCATTTGAAAAGAAAATTCATGCATAGGTAAGGACTAAGGAGGCATATGTATATATATATATATATATATAAATTGAAGTTTTGGTGTTTGACATGTAAAAACATAAGAACAGAGTGCTATGTAAACATTCCTTAATATTACAGGATGCAGACTCAGAAGAAGGTATATATGTTTGTGGTTATATATGCTCATAAATGTAATTAATATATTTATTAATTACATTTATAAGTAAATTAATATAATCTACAAGTAAAATTGATGCATTTGTGGTTATATGTGTTCATAAATGCCACCTTACCTATGCATGAAAAGGTGTATTAACTATTTAAAAGTTAAAATAGTGGTATTTTTTATGTGCCATGAAGGATTTGGGTGACATAAATGTAAAACCTAAAACAAAGGAATTAGATATGTAGATACATGAGAAATAGGTGGTATTTATGTAAATCCTCCTCTAGTTAACTCCAGCTTGCAGCCAAACACTAAGATTGGATCATATAATACGAATTTGATCAAGCATTTTAGTAAGTGCATGTAAAAGAGGAAATCCAAGTCTTTGTCTATTTATATATTCAGAAAACTTTAGAGAAAAAAAAAAAACAAGAAATACAAACAAGTAATAAATCTTATATATATTCAGAAAACTTTTGCGAAAAAAAACAAGAAATACAAACAAGTAATAAATCTTTGTTGACGTGTTAAGTTCATTATATAAAACACACTAGTATAAATAATTTTGCATAATTACGAACTTTAAAGATAGACCATTTATAAGTTCATGTAAGTCATGAGTTCAAATCAACATTACATTGGAACTTAAGAACACATATTTGACAATAATAAAGTGCATAGTGAACATCGGTATGCAAAGTAAAGACATTAATTTACCATGTCAAATCTAAGCAATACAAACAATGCATAAGATTGATAAACTGTTGCACATATCACACAAAAAACTTCTTTTGATATACTTATCTAAATTCTTTGACGTCAACTGTAAAGTTATATTCCTGATCACAGCCCAGATAAGAATCGCACATGAAGTAGATGGTGAAAGATTTCTTCCCAACATCCTTAGGCACAGCAAAAACAAGCTTAACTTTGGCTCTTCTTTGCAGCGCAACTCTTTTTATGGCAAGCAATTGGTTGTTGCTGCTATCACCAACAACAAGCCACCAACCTTCTTCTTTAGGCTTGGGATATCTCGGAGCATCCACCGCTCCGACCTCCATGCGACCCTCAAGGTCCCGTTCCAGCGTAACCTGCAACGTGGCGTCCTCACCAGGTAGAATATCATCAGCATCCAGCACTTCATAAGCCATATCAATGTTTGGGAATCGGTTGCAAAACCGTGCGATATCAAGCATCTGAGCATCGGACATCTGCAATAACTCACGCCTTTCTTCATCCTCCATCTCTACCAAATCGAAGACCGTCTCGATACTCTTTTCCGGGTTCTCCTGGCAACGCTTTGCCAGCTCTTTGGTGAAATGAGGAAGCTGGAGGAGCATTGAGTCTCGTTCCCACATTCCCTGAGTAATCATCTGGCACATCTCCATTGCCAGAAGGGCGAGGGTGAGCCAACCATTGCTGGAGATGACATCAACCATGGCCTGAAGAAGCCTGTGAGCGGAAAGCAGCACCTCATGCTGGTCTGCTGCTAAGTTTCCAACCACGGTATGCCGAGAGAAGTGAGCTTGCAGGAGTGCATTTGCCTTCACGTGTGGATCTGTGCACTTTGGATTTTCGAGGGAAAACCTTTGATGATATATAAGCTTCCTGATCAGGTCCTCCTCGCCAGGACGAATCGGAAGCTGTGCATATTCTGAGGCAGATGCTAAAATATCAAGAAGACCCTTCAGCTTAGTTTTCGGAGACAGAGATGAACTGAAACGCTCTATAGTCATGTAGCTGATGTAATAGTAAGAAGCAATCAATCCAAGATTAGAAGGTTTGAGATACATATCCTCTTCTATGCTGATGCACTTGCTTGATTCCAAGTCATTCAATGTATTCTCTACGAGGTCGGAAAGATGGTCAGATAGATGCCGGTGGCTGACACCCTGGAGATTATAATAATTTGGATTTTTTGCGAGCCTTCTGTACATAAAGGTCCATGTAAGATAATCCACGGCATCTTGCTTGTTCTCAACCACACCAACGACGACTTCAGCATTCATATGGTCATGCAAGAAGTGATGAAGATGGCTCTCAACAGGAAATGCTTCATAAAGAAACTTTTTGTAATATTCTTTCCTTGGTGCGTGACAAAGAATTACACATTTACCAGAACTATCTATAAGAGGCCTGCTCGCATGTCCCATCATCTGCAACAAATCAGTGATTGGGTAGTCGGTATGAGCATTCTCTCGTCCGTCGTAATACTGGGTACCCATGATGACGACCAGGTGAGCCGGCAATGACATTCCCCAACACATCGAGCTGCTCGCAACGCAAATTTGAATCCTTCTGCTGAAGAATAACTGCTTCACAACTTCTTGATCGAGGTCACAAAGCCCTTCATGAAGGTAGCCAACACCCATCGGAAGCGTCTCCTTCAGAGTCTCCTCCTTGATTCCAGATATGAAAGTCTGCATCTCATCCACAGTACCAAGGAGAAAAGAAGGATTTTCAGCACTTTCTGCGCCAGAGTAAGCGCACAAGTCTAGAGCCGTCAGTCTCGCATGCTTTCTAGTGGGAACGAAAACCAGAGCGGGTTTTCCATTCTTCGCATGTTGGACAACAGCAGTGTAAGTAGGCTTCGACATTGCCTGCATCCTAGCTTCAAAATTTGCGATGTCAACACCTTGAATGTGTATCTCCAATGGCACGGGACGAACACCAGGTGGGAAATTAAAGAGGCCGTGAGAAGTGGCGCCAATCCATTCACCAAGATCCTTAGCATTTGCGAGGGAGGCTGAAAGAGCGACAATACGGATGTTTGAACCGGTATGACTTGCTATACGCCTCATTCTAGAGACGACTATCTCTAACACTGGGCCAACCGACCCGCCAATCAAATGAAGTTCATCAACAATGAAAAGGCTGACATGCTGTACGAGAAACGACGAGAAAGAGCATCCCATTTCTCCGGAGTGCTGATGATTATCCGACCCTTTTCGAGCAGTTTCAAATCAGTTGCTGTCTCGCCTGTCAACTCCACAACAGATAAACCTAAGTGCTTTCCAAATTTTTCTTCCCAATCACGAAACCTTTCCTTTGCTAAAGCCTCAATTGCACCGATATATACAACACGCATTACGCTCTCAGGAAGCTTTTGATGATTTCGCAGAATGGCGAACTCTGCACATATGGTCTTCCCGCTGCCTGTTGGTGCTGCAACCAGGACATTGTCATCAGTGTTATATAAGACGGTAAAAACTTGAGTCTGGATAGGATTAAAATGCTTGAAGCTATCATAAAGAGCTTCAAAAGAAGGATTCCTCAAAGCAGTCACCGGAAGGGGTTGCAAATCAAGCAATTCAGTTGGGGGTGCGTATTTCTCTGGTAATATAAGATGCCTAAAACAAACAGGCAACACTGTTTGAGAACCAAGCCATCGATCGGATACTACACGAATAAAATATTGAGGCGGAAGGGGCTCGTAAATGGGGACAGTGAAACTCAAAGTGTGATTTTCATCAACATACTGTTTCTTAAGTATAAAATACTCATGATGAAGAATATATTCGCCATCATTGTCTTCGACGATAACCCAAAAAGGTTCGACATAACCATGTACTTTGTCATCCCACTGAAAGTCTGGCGTTAACGTAAGCTCAAAACCCAAAACAGTTCGAGTGATGGGTTGAACATGTGCAGATAGGTTAAGTTTTGGCAATTGGTGAATGCAGGTGTAAAGTGTCTTCCCCATTTTGGGAAAGCGAATCAGCTCTCCAAGTTGCTGTGTGCTAAGGTCATAGTACCTTTCCCAGGACAAATCCTTCTTCTCCAGTTTCATTAGAATTTCGTTTGGTATGCCAACAAACTGCCGTAATGGAGTCTGAACATTCCACATGCGTTTATCGACCATCTTGCAGAGGTTCAAAGCCTTCTCGGCTAGTTGAGCCCATCCTCTCTTTAAGACAATCTCAAACAGAGCTCGCAGAAGACGACCAGCACTCTGCCACATAAATGTTAGAATTTCGATAAAAGGTTTCATTTTAAGTAAAATGATGAGAAAGATATCTCGAAATGAAAAACAACAAATGTTGAATGAATACAAACCTGTCTAATGAAAACCATATCAGACGCCAATGAAAGCCCCTCAAGCTTCAGCTGTGATATATAAGCCTGTAAAAGAACATTAATCTTTGCACTGGGCTCTTCTAAGCTTTCTTTTACAGGAATGGGAACTCGATCCAAGAGCTTCGCCAATTCCATTTTCTCATCTTGCCTAACGGTAATATATTTAAATTCTTCGCTGAGAGAGAACAATCTGCAAAGCTCAATATCACCCATGGTTGGCTTCAGGTATTCATTGTATGTGGATATTGTTCCATGAGTTATATAGTAATAACTTGCTATTCTGCCCAGATCAGTGACCTGGAAATACCCGCTCTTTCTATCATACTTGACCAGATTATTCTTATCCAAGATGCTTGCAGCTGAATGGATCTAAAAAGTGTAAAAAGAAAGCAAATTCACAGTTGCTATCAGTAGAAGAACTAAAAAGCAAACTGAAACAATGCACTTTATAGCAAAAAAAATAATAATAAATAAAAATCATTGGGATGCATATTTGCAGTCATCTATCTGATATTTCACTAGCAAAACTGATAAGGTATTATTAATTCATGAAAAAATAACAAGCAATATTTCCTGAGAAATTTACAAGATCAAGAAAGAGATGGCTCTTAGGAAGCACAAGGAAATCACGTTGCAACTAGAAAGAAAAATATAGATGTACAACCATATAGTAAGTGTGGGCAGCGGAAGGTGCTCCTGAACTCATGGTGCAATCCTCAGCATCCAACTCTTTTGAAGTTAAAGGATCCAATGTTGGCAACATTGAATTTTCAAAACAAACTATTTCACTTTCCCATAAATTTCTCCTAGATGGCATGTTGGCCTATCTAAAATTTCTATTAAAGGTATTGATATTGCCCATTGGCTCAATCCACCGTGGTTTATTTCATCTAAGGCACAATGCTTGAGAACACTGCCAATTAAGAATATTGTTGCACTCTTAATTGGCTGTTTGAAGTCAGTTAGGACGTGAGATTGACTACTGAGTGGAGCAAGGAGATGGTTGCTAATGATGCTATCCAAGGATATAGGAAAGTTGATGACTGGTTGGAGCTTGGCAGCACGTGAGAAGCTCCAAGAAGGGTTCCGAGGTTAATGTGATTTTTGACAAAACAGAGAAGACATGATGGTGCAACTACTGAAGAAGATAGATTAGAGAGATTGTTGAACGAACTTAACGATAAAGACTCTGTGGGAAGAGAGATTAAAAAATTTGTGATAGCATGAGTATATGAGAGTAGAACGTAGCTAGGCTTAGATGACAATTAAGAAGAAGTTAATAGCTTCTATTTTATCAAGTTGGGGTATGCATTATTTGGTTGAATCGAAAGTAAACAAAACCAATTATTTTGGGACGATTTGATTTGTGGTGGTTTGAATCTTGGTTTAATTAGTGAAATATTTGGTTTTCAATTTTTGGATCTGTTTGAGAATCAATATTTTGAATAAAACCAAAATAATTGATTAAACAGTAAGAAATTAAAAACCATTTCACAACACATTTTCGGTTATGTTTGTAATCTTCATTCAAACTTCCACGAAAGCACTCAATTGCTTTGTAATTATATATTTTCAATTATACTTAGTGCTTATCAAATATGTGATAAAAAGCTACATAATATATATACATATATATATTTACACATAATTTATAAATATAGCTAACTTCAATTTATCCAAAACAATTTAAAAAAAACCAAACAGATTATTGTTTTGTTTGACTGGGTTTTGCCCACTTCTTTTTTTTTTTCAATCTGGTCTAGATACTTGGACAACCAAAACCAATTTGTTTTCCATATATTTCATTCAAATCATCCAAACCAACCAAATGCACACCCTATCACCAAGCAGATCAAAATGAGGAAGGCATAGTTATAGGAACCAGCACAAATTTCCAACAAAAATTAGGGTGAAACAAATTTCTTTCTTCGATAACACTAGAAGATAAACACCTACAGATTGAGAGTTAGGCGATCACTCACAAATCCTACAATTTGATAGGTAGAAAATCTCTCTCAAACCCTAACCCTTAGACTCAAGACTCAATGTCACGCATAAACCCAACCCTAAACATAACAACCCTATTTATACCCAACAACAGTAATAATAATACAACAACAATAAAAACAAGTTTTTATTCCACTAAATGGGGTCGGTTACATGAATCCTTTTACTCCATTGTGTCCTATTGAGTGTCATGTTTTCGTTCAATTCTAATAGATTAAGATCATTTTTTTATACAATATGCCCAAGTCTTTTTAGGTCCACCTCTCCCTTCCTTAAAATAAGTCGAATCTAAATCATCTACTCACCTAACCAGATCATCAGATGGTCCACGTTTAATATGATCAAACCATCTAAGGCGACTCTCTCTGATCTTGTCTACCACTGAAGCTACACCAAACCTATGATGAATATATTCATTTTGCACTGTCTCCAAGTGTCAAGCCACTCATCCACCTATGCATTCTCATGTCAGCAACACTTAACTTTGCTTTATGCTTCTCTTCCAAAGTCCAACATTCTGCACCATAGAGCATTGCCGGTCTCACCACCATCTTATAAAATTTTATTTTCAATCAAAGCGGTACTTTTTTATCACAAAATAGGCTCGATGCATTCGCCCACTTCATCCAACCAACTTGAATTCTACTAATAGCATCCCCATCGATATCACCATCATTTTGAACAATAGACAAGAGATTTCTAGAAGATTAACACCTTTAATGATTTGATCACCCATAGTTACAATTGTGCCACTAGAGCTACTACTACTAAAATTGCATTCCATGTATTTGGTTTAAGATCTACTCAAATGAAGGCCTTTAAACTCCAATGTAGACCTCCATAATTCAACTTATTTTCCTGATTTTTTTCTCTACTCTTATCCGCAAGAAAGATATCATCAGCAAAAAGCATACACCAATATACATCCTCCGGTAAATGTCTGGTAAAAGCATCAATAACTAAAGCAAAAAGATATGAGCTTAAAGTAGATCTCTGATGTAATCTAATTGAAATAAGAAAATACTATTCAATCCTCCTATTCGAACACAAGTAACAACTCTAGGCTAATAAAAGACAAAATTTCTCTTAGGCGTCGATATAATAAAACTAAAACACAAGTAACAACTCTAGGCTAATAAAAAACAAAATTTCTCTTAGGCGTCGATATAATAAAACTCCACTCCCAAAAAAACACTTTGTCATCAAGATGGAAAAAACTATTTTGGATCAGATTGCGAGGCTCCCCGCTCATAACTGGCTTGAGTCTAGTTCTCGCCATCAGCACAGCCACACTTGACATGACCTTTCACTTCTCAAAAGTTTGGTAGTCACTTTCCCCCATTGAAAGTTATCCTTCTTTAATTTCTTACTCCACCACCACAAAATCGAATTATAACTCTTCACAAAGTTCTGGTAGTGTCCTGTAAGTCCCATAAACCTTCTCAACCCCTTCCAGGTTTTAGATAGTGGCCCCTTCAACCTATCTGTTATCTTCAATGGATCTACTAACACCAGTATTACATAAGCTAGGGTCATCGTGAAGCACCATCATCTTGTCTCCCTCATGAATACTTTGCACTGTCAAAACTCATCTCTTACAAACTCTCTTGCTCTTTTCCACATGTCTAATTCTCATCATTACCCATGAATTATCTTCCGCCTGGAAGACTGTCGCAGCAAAAGGTACCAGCCCAGTTGGATGCAGCCTCCCTCGGGGTTCCACAACCTGTGGTTCCCTCTTTCAAGCCAAAATTCTTCGAAGAGATACTCTCCCTCACTGAATCACACGACATCCCATTATGGTTGCTATCTCTCGTTCCCAATCTCTAGATGTTGTGCAATTCCCTCTAGATGATGTCGCTCAAATACGCTCCTGACTCATTCGCTCAATCTTGCCTGCTTTCGTTTGTTTCGGCAGTTTGAATGTCATGTTCTTTCTTCTAAGTGTTGCGACTCGAGTTTGCTCCTAATTCCTTCATTCAATCTCGCAGCTCCTGGTCGCCTAAAACAATACTCCTACCCTAATTTCATGTGAATCTTTCTAGTTGTTGTTGCTTGTATCCATTCCCATCATCATCGCTCGATCCCACAACAAGTTGAGGCGATTTGTGTGAAATTTCACGATATTCTTCATTTCTTCCAGGGTCGTAAATCTCTACTCGAACTCCCCCTCCATGGACAGGAAATGTTCCTCGATTTCAAATCTAATTTAGCTCATCTCTTCCTTCAATTTGTTCCCCAAATCATCTACTTCACTATTTCCATATCTTCAAGTACGATTTTTAATCACGAAGGCAAACATTATGCCATTAAAGTTTCTTCCCAACTAGCTCTTTTCTCGAATGTATTGCAAGTCAGCAGATCACACCATCGTCGTCATCTACCATGAAATCACGTCTTGTCGTAGCAAAAGAACGGCTTGTATGTGATCATGTCATCACTGTATCACACGTACCAAGTTGATAGGATGGAGGTGTATCACGATCATGCATCATCACTGTATCATCATTGTATCGCATCATTGCTGCATTAGGACAGCTTCTTCCCAGCTAAATCTTATAGCAACTGTATCATGATCCCATGTCACCTCCACGAACCTTCATCATTGATGGCTCTAATCGTGGTTGTATCACGAGGGCGTAGATAGCGATCGGGTCAAGTTCTCCCCCCTTGGTTTGATTCCCAAAAATCTTTTTTTGATACCACTTGTTAGGAACTGACAAAGTGTTTCACACAAAAATCAAGGCAAAAAAATTACTTTCTTCAATAACACAAATAAAGGATAAACATCTACAATTCGAGAGATAGACAATCTCTCCCAAATCCTACAATACCGAGAGGTAGGAAATCTCTACCAAACCTTAACCCTAAGTTTCAAACTCAATCTCATGCATAGGGTTGTAAACGAGCCGAGCTTGAGCGAGATCAAGCTTGGCTCGTGTTCAGCTCGTTCGAAATTTGCTTGTGAACGGTGCATTCGTGTTTGACTCGATGTAGTTATTCTTGCTTGTGTTCGACTCGAAATTGACTCATTGAAATTAATTGAAAAAAATAGATATACGATATTGGATTCAAACATGCACCAACTACATGCAATAAAAGGCGCAGAATCACATGACCACATGAGTTGTTATGATTTAAACTAAGATAATAATAATAAAAGATAAAATCGCCTTAGGCACTGGCGTAACATATAGCTCATTTGGAAGGTTAATAGCATTGTTTTAGGCTCTTTTTTAGAAGCAAGCGATTATACGTCTTCTATTAGAGATGAAAATGAACAATGGGCTACTATTGCTTGTCATTTTGGTTGGCCATGGTAAAGATGTTCTGATTCTAATGTGCGTGTTAATATAGTTGGCTTAAAAGAAGATTTTAAAGTAACTTCTTAGAAGTTCCAGGAGCCTTTTGGCTTAAGTTTGCCACAGCTTGAGTTTATTAGCATCGAAATTGAATTAAACCAGATATAAACAGAATCATAAAATATTAAGTCTAAACTCTATGTATGGTTAATAACTAATATAACAAAAGCTTAAATCAGTAGAGTAGATGAATAGTTACGTTGGAGTTGAACTTGAATTTCAAAGTCAAAAGTCTGGATTGGGTTGTCTAAAATCAATTTAAGCACTTAACTCATTCAACAGAAAAGCAGAGCACGAATTAATATTCAGATAATTGGTTGGGTTTAACCATCAGCTGCTTATGTGAGATGGCTTAGTTAATTGATTTAATCAAACTTAAGCCAGACATTAAAATTAAGATTCAGAAACCCATTGAAGTAACTAATTAGATCAACCTCTTGTGAGCCCAATTAGCTGCGCCCTGACCATAAAACTTAATCAAGGGATCAAAGCCTAGGTTTCAAGTTCACTTGATCAAGACGCTTACACTTATCTATTTGGGTTAAAACAATATATTTACTTTTGGCAATTGAATTTAACTATCATAAATCACAAGTCCTTCAAGACTCAAGTGAACTTTTGAGTAAGCTTTGTTTGAATTCAATTCAAAGTAATTAGCTTAATTTAGAGATTAAAAACTTCAATCCAAGTCTTGTCTCAGATTAATTCAGGCTAAGGTTAAGCATTAGTGAGGATTACTAAGCTAATATGACTAAAATTGGTCTAGTAAGATCATATGTTTTTAGCAATTGTTTAGTATTTTTGGACTTCAACTAAATCGTCTAAGCATTTCTTGGCTTGTAATATGTTAGCTTAGGCCAACTAAAGAGGTTCTAGTTACAAGTCAACCTTGTCGCCTGCCAAACACCTACATGGTAAACCAAGAGTTAGGTTAGATTAAGAAGGCTGCGCAGGGCTGTTTTTAATAAATTTGACTTGAGTCAACCCTAAGATGAAAGTAGTCTTATGGTGTATATGTCAATATTGAAAGGGTCGCATAGGCTAGGGATATCTTCGACAAGGCTCTATAAGTTTTAAGGTTGGCTAAGCAGATTGCAAGTCTAGTTAGAATTTGTTTAACTGAGCGAAGGTACAATATAGCCAATTTGAGATAAGAGCTTTCTAGACCTTCTAGAGAATGATAGTAAGTAAAGTAATTAATTTATGGAAAGATGACATACAATGAACCATAATAAAATACTGCACATTTTCCTTGAAATAATAAATCCTAATGGTATGTTCGTGGCATTCCAGAGGTAAGATATCAAGATGGAGCAGCAAATATTGATGATAGCAGTAATTATAAAGCATATATGTGCATTCCAGAAGTAAAATATCAAGATGAAGCAGCAATTATTGATGATAGCAACAAGCATATCAAGATGAAGCATCAATTATTGATGATAGCAACAAGCACAAAGCATAGATGTCCATACAAAACTCTTGCTGACTCTATGAACCAATTCACTTAATAAGAATATGCAGCCGACACATTAAAAACCAACTCAATTAGCTAGAAGTTTGAAATAAAATATTTTTTAAAAGTTATTCCTTTATATTCAATATAAATTGAAATAAAATACCAGGATATTATTCGGTAATAACTTTAGTCGGGCATTCTTAATGCATGTTACTCATCCAGACAATCAAGGAACATTCACTAAAAATTATTTTTTAAGAAAAAAACTACAGAGGCAAAATTCTGAGGAATAAACTACTATCTTTTTAAATGGATACATGCATTTTTCCCATATATGTTGTAACTTATCTTTTAACCATGCAACAACCTATTAAAAATAAAAACAATTCAAAATAATCTACATTATGAAAAATAGTAGGAAATCAAATATTGTGTTTTGTGATAGCTTAATCATCCATTGAGCATGCAAGTGCAACACCCAAATGAACTGTCAAAATGGCTAAAAAAATGTACGCAATAATGTGTGGGGCAATTCAAAACAAATAAAACTTTTTTAAAATAAAAACTACATCTTAAGCAATTTCAATGACTTGAATTTCAAAAAACATAAGGAGCTGGTACTTTCAGAAAAGGGCATTCCACATCATTCATCTTTGCTATTAAGTTTTAGCAAAATGAGATTAAATTTGATCACAAGGTTCTTAGGTCATAAGAAAAAAGATTAATGACTTAGATTTTAGTTTGAAGGACATAACAACAAAAATTACAACAGTTTATCCATCTTAACTATTATATTCAGCATTAAAATAAAAATGTTTATGTAGCATGAGAGTAAATGAGCTTAAGAAAATATGATTAACAGCTAAATTGGAAATAAACAGAACATGCAAAATATGTTGAAAAATGAATGAATTAGGCAATACTCGAGCTTTTACTTACTAAATCAGCTCTTCGTTCCTCTAAAGTTTTGTCTCGGTCCAAAATGTCAGCTGGCAAACCATAAAGTGTTGGATTTCTCAGCATACGAATGTACAGATACGTATACCCTATCCAAGTGCACGCTTCATGTGCATTTTGAACAGTTCCTAACACAATCTCCGCATTCAGTTGATCAGCCAGCTTCGAAACAAACTGACTCTCAATTGGTAGTTGCTGATTCATGAGAGACAGATAGTACTGCAACTCACTGTGGCCCGTTATAATGACCCCCTCTCCATAAGAATCAAACTGAGGTCTTCCAGCACGACCAAGCATCTGCATCACATCCAACGCACTAAGCTCAGTCCAAGCTCCTTGTTCTGGATTATATATTTGAGTCCCTTTGATTATAACAGTATGGGCTGGCAAGTTAACACCCCATGCAAGTGTGGCTGTTGAGACCAACACCTGAACATGCCCGTCAGCAAACAGCTCCTCGACAATATCGCGATCAACCCTCATCATCCCTGCATGATGAATAGCGAAGCCATACGGCAGTAAATCTTTCACGTCATTGCTTTTAACGAGTTCCGTTTGACTCTGAAGTATCTCACGGCTTGCACTGTCATCTTTCAAAAATCGACTCAAAGTGTCATTAGCCAATGCAGTGTCTCTAATGGCTCGAGCGGTTTTTACTGTTTCTTTTCTAGAATGAACAAAAATAAGCACTTGATGCTTTCCTGCAGCAGCCAGAACTTTTTCATAACAGATTTCGTTCATTAACTGAAATCTTTGCAATGGTTTCCTCACGGATATTCCAATGTATTGCTGTGCAAGTGGACATGGCCTGTAGCTATTATCAAAATAAAATAGGCCTTTCGAGGGATTTACACGCAAGAATAATGCTACATCTTCGTAATTTGGGAGAGTAGCTGATAATCCAACCAAACGAATAAGATCTTTCGTAGTCTCAATTTGTCTGACTGTCCTAGCAACTATACTTTCCAAAACAGGCCCTCGATTATCATGAAGAAGGTGAATCTCATCAATAATGAGGAGTTTCACTAACTGAGTGTAAGTTCTATCTCCAGATTTTCTAGTAACAATATCCCATTTCTCAGGTGTTGTAACTATTATATGAGTTTCTTCAATTTGTTGCCTAGTTAGTGATTGGTCGCCACTGAGTTCCCTCACAGTAATGTTAAAAAACTGTAGGCGATTAGACAAGTTCCCAACAACTTCAGCAACCAAAGCTTTCATTGGTGCAACATATACAATCTTAAACTCACTGGTGTCTACCTCCCCATCTTTCCAATGTAAAGCTATCTCATGAAGTATGGTTAGCATGGCAACATTCGTTTTTCCAGCACCCGTTGGAGCACATAAGAGTATATTCTCAGGTGTAAAAAGAGCAGTTTCATAAACTTTACTTTGAATTCTGTTCAACTGCTTCATACCTTCAAAAGCTGGACGTGCGTAGTCCGGCATCTCCGATATCTTCACTAACTTCTCTCCAGATGCAAGTGGTTTGGGCTTCAGTGCTGGCACATGAACTTCTTCATATCCCTTGTGGGGAGTTCTGTAAGATCCTGGAGGTAGTTCACACTTCTTGTTTGCCATCAAAAGGCCCCCTTTCTGAAATGCTAGAATTTCAAGATCCAGCATCTGTCTTTGCCCCTTTAACCAACCATTATCCGCCTCCCTATCCATAAACCTTTGATCCCTATCATCCCCTGTCACACGATCATCTTTTAGCCGTCTGGCCTCATCTCTAATGCTCCTCTCTACATTCTTTTGGCGCTCTTTTGCAGATGCCCTAGTGGCATGCAACTTATCCAAGATTGAAGCCAAGCTTGGCCCGAAGTTCATCATCTCTTCTTCAATTTTCCTCCGCTGCTCTTGGTCCTCAGCCCTAGCCAAGCGTGTGCACCATACTATCTTGAGTCTATTTCTTAAAAGCAGCTTTATAAGATCAAACTTATCGTATTCAAGTAATGTCACAAGCCGGTTCTCAACATCTCTGTCATCACCTTCAGCCAGAATTTTCAACACATCTTCTGCAAACTTTTGGCTTTGTTGCGGGTCGATTTTCTCGAAAGCTTGAGAGATTTTTCTCTGCAGCCAATAAGCATCAATATCTTGCACGTTCAATGTCCGAGCCTCATTAGTTTCCTCCATTTCATCGTCATCTATTCCTCCCATCTGCATAGCACCTATGTCATTTGGTTCCTGTCCATCATCATCCTCCTCTGATTCCTCTTGAATCTGATTCATGCAAGTAAGACAAAAAACATATTACATTCAATCTTGAGAATGTGAACATTGGGATAAAAAGATGTGAAAAATCATGTAAATATTGTATATAAGTGCATGAGCAACTAATACCTGATCATAGTCACTCTCTTCCTCCTCGTCCTCTTCAAACTCAACAGCAACACCAATGTCATCATCAAGAGCACCATCATTCCCATTTGCGGACACCGGACCAGCAGTCTCAGGTCCATCCTGATAATCCGTAATCAACCGTGCTATAGAGACAAGCTGGTCAAAAGTTTGGCTTGAAAAAGGATTCAAAAGCCTCTCAATATCCTTCTTCTTTTCAGGATTCTTGATCTTATCGTTCTTCAGAACAGCCAAAACCTCATCAGCAGCTCCAGTAAGCACATCATGTGGCTGCCCACCGAATTGCTGTTGGATAATACTAAGCAGTGCCTCATAAGCAGCACGGGTCTCCTTAGTTTTGGGCTGATATACACCCTCATCCACAAGCGAGAGTACAGTCTCCTCTTGGGTGCGCCTCCTCTTGCTATCCTTTCTCTGCTCCTGATCGGGCCCTGGCTCCCGCTCCTTCTTCTTTTTCGACTTTTTAATCTTCTCCTCAAGCTCCGGGGGCTTGCCTCTGTATGCTCGGTCCCCAAAGCTCTTTGGGTCGATCTTCCCCCATAGGGACTCCGGCTCACCTGTGGGCTCGTGGGTATCCCGGGGTCGAGAATCGGTGGTGAGTACAAGGCTCGAATTAGCACGATACTCGTACTGCTTAAAGCGGGCATGTGCTTCAGCACCTCCGCCTAAATGAGCCATTGCTCCCAAGAAGCAGATGCCCTAGATGCAAACACTGATAGAGGCAAGTGGAGGAGGTAGCGTTAAGTATTGTGATGGCCTAGGAAAACCGAAGAAATCATGAAAGCCGAAAAGTAAGCGCGTGGGGAAAGAGAGAGAGGAGGGGGAGAAAGACGAGGGTCACCTTCCTCGATGGTTTCTAGTAGGAGCGGACGCGAACGAGCAGAAAGATGGGAGTTTCGGAGGTCCTTGTGCGTCGTGATCCCGTTGTTGCCTTCCTAGCTCAAACCGCGACCTGTATCGCGAGCTTTCGGTCACGAAGACCTGTAGGGAGGTCGGCAAGGGTTTCAGTTTAAACTAAACCCTACTTGCAACGAAACAGCAAGAAGGGGAGGGGTAGGTTGTACCTAGGAGGTCGCCGGCGACCCGAATCCCCTTTGAGTTGAGAATTTAGCTACCATAGATACAGCGTACTTTCGGTAGTTGAAGATGGCGGGCTTGAGAAGGGTACAAGGAAATCCTCTCTTCGGTGAAGAGTCGGCTACGAAAATTCTGAAGCGTTGTTCAGCAGCAATGGCATACGCAGTATCTCATCATTTCTCTACCCATATTACTATTATTATTATTTATGTGTTAAATATTGTTATGATTTATATATTTTAAAAAATATAAAATATATTTTGTTGTAAGTTCTCTTGTAATAACTCTGCCGCAAATGGCGTATACGGTGTTTTCTTGTTTTTCTTGCTCCGCACAATATGAAGCATTACATGTGGGCGAGCGATGGTTGACAACGACTTTATATATGCTTAAAAAT